TCAGTTATGAAATAAGGTTCATGATGCACGCAAGCAGATCATTCAAATAAAACATGAGTAAACAATCAGGGAATAGAAATGAAAAGCACCGATCGGGTGTCTGAAGCGACGCCTCGAAAGGATAATAATATGAAGCGTGCCTTAGTCGGGCGTCTGTGCGACACCACATAAAGGGCTTATAAGTAAATGAAATAACAAGCATGCCACAGTCGGGCGTCTGTGCGACACCACATAAAGGGCTTATAAGTAAATGAAATGACAAGCATGCCACAGTCGGGCGTCTGAGCGACACCACATAAAGGGCTTATATAAGAATAATCATGGTGAATATCCAGGAGGTAGAACCGTCCCAGGGATACTCAATAATTCAAATAACATAAGTGGTTAGTCCATAATAATAATAATCATAATCATCATACGTCACCGGTCATAATCAATGTTCTGGTTAGTTTTTCCTCTGAAGACCGACACTAAGACCGACACTTGACCCATCCCAGACTGTAGTCCTTAACCAAGGACACGGCTATTCGAATATGTATTATATCTCTGCAGAGGGTGTACTCTTTACCCACGAGTAACGGATCTCTTTAGTCCATCGGAACTAATTCCGTCTACGGTCTTTTAATTGAAAACCCACCTAACCGCACACACCAGCCAAACTCACCGGTGTCTGGAATCACCCTTGACACATGTTAAGCAAAACTCTAAGTGGGGAGGCTACAACCTCGACTTAGCATGGGATCACAAAATTTATACCGCACGCAAAACAGGGGGAGCTACCCCCTTCGGCTACAACCAAAAACACCCATGCCCCCGGACCAGGTGGCATGCCTACCGGATGCAGCCGGTATCTTCCACCATGGCCTCTCTGTATGGTGTGTGCTAGGACAGGGGTTGACAACTTACTGAACCGTACCCTACCTACGGCAGGGACAAGTGGCAGCACGAAACAAGTATGGGGGTTGCTGGAACAAGACTCGATCTACGGCCGACTCAGGAGGCTTAAGTATTTCCTGCATGATTAGCTCAAGGATAATATTTCACATCCATCAGACACAATCACCACTCATCATACCCCTCCCCCTGCCCCACCGGTCATAACCGTCTCGACGAGGGACAAGCTCGTGTCTACCCAAGACAGATACTTTGTCGGATCCTTCCGGTAGGCACGAGAGGCATATGAGGGTGATTGCTATCACAAGTATGTCCATTTCCAACAGCAAAAATTTCCATTTTTGCACTCAAAGCGTATGATCACATCGTCACATAAAAATAACTAATGCTTCATGTCGAGGTGGTGTTATAACCGTATCAAACGACCCACGAAATATTATGCCAGGGTTCAGAATGCTTGCCTTCAAGGTGTGGAGAGGCAGGGGGCATTCCAAAACTTTTGAAAGTTTTCTCCTTCTTCAAATTCCTATTTTTGAAAATATTCAAATAACACATACTTTAAAAACAGTACAAAAAAGTTTTTGGAAAATTTTGAAATAAATATGAAAATAAACTAGACAACATTTGGGAAACAACAGAAAAAGAATCAAGTCATTTGGATTTATATTTAAAAAGTTATAGCCAGTCAAAGTTTTAGTCAAACTCTGTTTTTTTTTAATAAAACAGAAAAGAAAAGTTTCAGATAAGAATACGCTTTCGAAGCAGGGGATACGCACTTGGGGGTTTTACGCCTTCACTTATCCAGCGTGGACGGGCACGTAGGTCACTGACAGTGGGTCCACAGGGCCCACTGATCAGGTTTGACCAGTCCTCTCTCCCTCCTCTTCCTCTGCCCAAATGGAGGCGGGACTCCGGTGATCAACGTCGGCGAACGGCGGCTCCCCGTGGGCTCCAGAGGGTCGGGATGGATCCGCAAGACCGGGGCGGTCCTCCCGGTGGTCGTTGGGTCGGCGGGGGTGGAGGGAGTCACCGGCGGCGAGCTCCACGGCGAAGGAGGCTTTAGGTGGGTTTTGGGGTTCTGGGCTGCAGTGGTTCCTGATCGCATATGAGAGGCTGGGCAGCTCCGCCAGGTTGAGGGGAGTCGAGTGGTGTCGCTGGATGGGCGGGGGAGGGTCTGCTCGCGACGAATTGGACCAAAGCATGGCGGCGGCCGAACCCGTCGGAGGTGAGGAAGACGACCTCCTCCCGTCATTCTCTGGCTATGGGGGTCACTTGGAGGATGGTATGGGGCTGCCTGAGGGCTTAGACGATCTCGGGGGCCTCCTTTTATAGTGCAACGAGGTCGGTTTTGCGGCGGCCGTGGATAAGCTCGTCGGCGACCGCCGTTCTGTAGGTGCAGGGTGACGTGGAGCTAGCTGGCGCATTCCGACGAGTTCCATACTGCTCAAGGGGCGAGCTGGCGTGCGTGTATGTCTTGGGCGGTGCTGCCACGGCCGGGGCCTGTTGCGGCCGTCAGCTAGCCGCCACGGCCGACCTGACGGCGGCGCTGTGGGGTGCCAGAGGTGGTCGGGGTGGCTCTGCGGTGTAGGAGGAGATGGGGCGCGCTGGCTGCGGTTGGCCAAGGGCCAGAACGGGCGTAGGGTGGGCGGCAGCGAGACGCGGCGGCTCGGTGCACGCGCGTGCAAAACGTGCGCTCTGGGCGCGCCCAGAGCACGCACGCTAGCTGCTCGACGAAGTGCCAATGCATGCTACAGGGCTTGGGTGAGGCTGGCAATAAGCAGACCTAGGTTAGGACTAGCTAGGAGCTTAGTGGACAAGGTTGCTGGGTCAGTGGTTCAAGTTCATATAGCAAACTAAAAACCATGCCAATTCTGGCTATGCACACAGGGTGTTTGGCAAAAATGCCAAAGGCATTTAGGCAACTCTTGGGGTGGCCCAAATTTCCAGATCATAGTCTCTTTGGATGAATAAGAGGGTGGTGAAGTTAGTTTGCCAAAAGCTCAAACTTGTTAGTGTAAGTTTTGCAAATCTCCAGTTTTGGACAAAAGGAAAAAGGCATGATTGCATTCACTTAAAATCCTCCAATGGGTCCACTCTCCTGGACTTAAGGGTTTTGCAGGATGGGCTATAAGTAGGAAAAGGAATCATAGCTAAAAGGGGAAGTTAAATGATGGTTGCTGTACAAATCACCATGCTGGACCAGTATGAAAAAGAGGTTGGTTCACTCAAATATTTCAAAGAACATCTAGGGGTTTTTGCTTAAAGTTGAATAATATACTCCTATGAACATCCCATAATTTTGGTGGAAATTTTAAAGAAATATTTAAAGGGGTTGTAGTGCAAAATTGTCCACTGGACCAGATTTGAAAACTTGGTGTAGAGCTCAAAATATTAAATGAATGAAATATATTTTTGCATGGAAGTGATTTAAAAACATCACATGACAACTCCAAATTTTGGTGAAAATTTTAAATAAATTTATCAAGTGGTTGTAGTTCAAAAAAGAGCTCCAAAACTAATGAAAAATCATTTTAGGAATAAAGCTCAGAGAGAAATGATTGTGCAAATAAGTTCCACTGATAATAGAAATGTTTTTTTTCTTGAAAGGGCAAACAAGTCCAATAATATATTTGGATAGTTTTTACTTGGGGTAAAAACTGCATAATAACAAAGAAAAGAATGGCTTTGAAATCAAGGGAAAAATCCAGAAAATGAAAGTTTAAATTTCCTGGCAAAATTTTAATCAATGAAATAAGGTCAAAATTTTGGGGTGTCACATTATCGCACAAGGTATTTTTTTCAATATTATTATCGATCTTTCCATTTTCATATTGCCTTTTGTATTTAACTAATTTGGCTCATTTTTGTATCGTGTCAACATACTATGTTTATAGAACTCTTGCAAAATATTTAAGAACATGTGGCAACGCACAGGCATTCTACTAGTCTGTATAGTGCCACTGTCGGGGCGTCACACTTCCGGCCTTTAGAAGATCAAAATTTTCAGAAATTCAAATACCACACAGAAGTATGCCAACATATATTGATTCTTTCTCATGTTGCTCCGTACTTACATGTAATACTATTGATAAATATTTTTGCCTATGATTTATGAAAATACTAATGTATGGTTTTAGAATAGCAAATGCTAAATCTACCATATTGTCTAGCCCATAAATGAAAATATTTTTTGATGAAATTGTATATGCAGATAACGTCTACAAGTACATCTCTTTCTCTTTTTTTGCGGGATGCAAGTACATCTCTTCTGTAATGAAACTTTAAAATGCTTTTATTTATTTGAGAAAGAGGCTAACTGGAGCCAGGGTCAATTTTGAATTTTCCTATGTTTCTTATCCTACTAGATTGGAGTATTGCGCTGTGATGCATCGTTGTGTACACAACTGAAAGACGCGGCAGACCGAAAGCCTTAGAGTGATGCATTCCTTTTCATGACACCTGTAAGCCTTGCTATTTTCTCAAAAAAAAACCTGTACGCCTTGCTCACAGTAAAGTAACTGCATTCTGGCCACAATAACCTCTCCTGCTGAATGAATCACACTTATTGAAGAGAGTACATATAACATAAGCAGCACAGTTCCACCTGATGATCTCCATTACAATTCACAAGTTGGCCATAGGCTACTGTTGAGAACTCAAAACAGGACGTATGTTACTCAAACAAACAGAAGATAAGCACTGAGCACAGTTCGGCACACTGGTCATGATTCCAAAAGGAGCAAACCTTAACACCACCATATAACTAATCATGCTACATTCGCTGGGCCTGGGAGGGACAACCTTAATATCACAGAATCACATCAAAAGCACAAACAGGCAGCTACAAGTTACTACAAACATCCCACCCACAGGTGTTCACCATAACTCTGCTACTCCTGGTTGCTAATACCACTACAAGCTCAGTAGCCATTTGCTCCGAGATAGACCAGCATAACTGGGAGCAATTTTAACCAGGGCAATGCCAATCAACAGATACAAATTCTTACCTAAAAAACAGATACAAATTCTTGAACTGCTATCCCCGGAGTGACCTTACTGGCTCTCTTCCTCTTCGCCTTCCATCTCTTCCTCGTCTTCCTTGTTACCGGAATCGCTGCCACTACCAATGCCTCCGGCATCCGCAGCACCAACATTGTTCTGGTTGTACTGGTAAGATGGGCGCCGTGAGGCATGGTGATGCCTGTCGTCCTTGACACGGTACCGGACATGGTGATTGCTGCTGGCCCTGACATCCGTTGCCATAGAGGCTCTCCTTGGACCGTTGCCATCAGCAGTAGCTGGCGAGTCACCATCTTCTGCTGTAGAGGCTGAATTACCGACCATGGCAGCGGCAGCAAGTGGGACAGCGAGTGGAGCACCATTGTTGGCCTTTGAGATCTCCATCTCCATCTTGAGGAAGAACTGCACACGCTGGTCCTCCAGCTCGCGTGCGGCATCCAGGCGGCTCCGCTCCATCCGGAGCTCATGCTCCCCTTTTGAGGACACCACGCGCTCGTATGTCTCCCCAAGCCGTCGAATCGCCTGTGCCAGGTCGCGCAGGCCCTGTGCACGGTCGCTGCTGTCCGCTCCATTCGCCGACTCCTCGAGGCGTTGCCTCTTGCCGTTCACGGCCTCAGCCAGTGGTTCAGGTGGGAACCCGTCGGACGACTCCGACGATGCTGACGCCTGGGGCGGCGATGGCAGCCTCCGCTTCATACCTATCGAGGGAAAGGCCGTGCGGGTGCGCTGAGGGAAGTTGACACGCGGGGCCATAGGTGCGGTGCTCCGGTTGCTGGGATTGGAGGAGCCAAAATTTCCTGCTGCCCCGCCAGAATTGCCCAGGAGCTTCTGGACTGGGGCGAGGAGGAAGTCAAGGCGGTCGAAGAATGGCCATGAGGAGTCCGACTTGGCCTTCTCGACTTTGTACTTCTTCTTGAGGGTGTCGATACGGTTCTTGCACTGGACGTCGGACTTGGGCGGCTTGGAGTAGCCATCGCGGGAGGAGACGACCTCGGCAACCTCCTGCCACTGCGGGTGGCGTAGGCTGCCGCGGCCGAGCGCGACAAAGCGCTCACCCCAGGCGTCGATCAGCGTGGAGGTGGCGCCGTCGCTCCAGGCGTCCTCCCTGCCCCCGCCCCCGCCGCCGCCGCTGCTGGAGGGACCATGCTTATGAATAGGGATGGCGAGGGCGAGGTGGCCGGGGGGCACGGCGGCGACGGTGACGGGGTCGGCGACCGGAAGCGGGGAAGGGGAGCGCGACGGTGACGGCGAGGGCGACGGGGAGGCGGCACCGTCGTCATCCATGAGCGGAGATCTGGAGGTCGTCGGTCGGCGGCGGGCGAGGGTTTGGGGATATTTCCAGGATGCGGAATTGTTCGGGATGCATTTGCATTTTGTGGCGTGCGGTGGCCGTCGTGTTCGGCGGCGATGGGAGAAGGTGTTTATCTTTGTTTTTTACGGTGTGCTGTTGTACATTCTTGAGTGACTTATCCATATTTTCATTTCTCCTATTTACCACTGTCATCAATAAATTACTTTTTTAAAATTAAACATTTAAATTAATTAACCAGATATTGAAATATGGATGGGCTAAACCCATCCTAAAATTTCAGAAAATTCTATAAGGACACACTGGTGTCACGACAAAGAAAATGGTGCAAGGCAGAGCAACTATTCATCAAGTTCTCCTTCACGAGCCCTCCCAAGGTCTACTTTTGGTAGGCTGTGCGGCGCCACCGGTCGTGCTCTAGAGGCTCCCTTCGAATTTTGTTTGTTTATTTATTTTTATGTACGCGTTTTTAGCTTTCAGATGATTTTTTTTGTTTCTCAACTTTTCAGGGTTTTTCATTATTCTTAGGTTTTGGACAAAAAAACATTTTTTTGTGTGAAAAACGCTTTTTTCTTCTTGTGATAGGCATAGATTTCATTTAAATGTAGGCATGGATTTGCTTTCATGAGAGTCATAGTCATGCCTCTCGGAAAAAGAACATATTTTTTCGATGAAGGACAAATTTACTTCTCGAGGAGGCACGGATTCGCTTCCCTGAAAAGAACAATCGTGCCTCTCGGAAAAAGAAAAATTGTGTTTTTTCTTCCGCGAGTGGCACATACTTCTCGTGATATTCGCTTTCGCGAGAGGCACAATCACGCCTATCCGAAGAAGGAAAAGAACACATATGTTTTTTTATTTCGTGAGAGACACTGATTTACTTCTCGTGGAGGCATAAATTTGCTTCTGCGAGAGGCACAATCCTGCCTCCCGGAAAAGAAAAAAATGTTTTCTTTCTTTTCCACAAGAGGCATAGATTTGCTTCTCGTGAAGGCATGAATTTGCTTCCGCAAGAGGCACAGTCGTGCCTCTTAGAAAAAAGGGAAAACGTGTTTTCCTTTTTCCGCAAGAGGTATAGATTTGCTTCTCGTGAAGGCACAAATTTATTTCCGCGAGAGTCACAGTTGTTCCTCTTCGGAAAGGAAAAAAGAACATGCTCCCGATTCGGATTTTTCATAAAAAAATCATCGAAAACTATCAACATGGGATCTAGTTTGAAGCTGTCGACGTGATGAATCCAACGATGAAAACGATTCGAGATTCAAACGCACGGTTTAAGAGATAAAACTTTTTAATAAACAAATCTACAAAAAAGGGAGAACTCCGAGATTGGTCTCTCCCACCTCCCAGGTTGCGACAAGTGGCGCACATGCAGCGTGCCACTTGTCACAACCTGGGGAGGTGGGAGAGACCTTTGCAAATGTACTTCTAAATTAATGATTTCGGGTGGAAGTTTAGTACCATTCGGATTTGGAGAAAAGACTTGGACCTCTTTATAATGGGCTCTTCTTCCATATGTTATTAGAGCTTGAGAAGAGAAGTGGTTTCAGCACACTTCACTATACCGGATACCCATCAGTAATTGAAGGGTATAGTGATGGGAATTGTGATATATGATGTTGATGAGATGAAGTCTACAATTGGATATGTATTTACACTTAGAGGTGGCGCTATTTTATGGAAGTCTTGCAAGCAAATATCTGGCCAGTTAAGAATCTGGAACCCTTTACTAAAGGACTATCACATTTGTGATAGAAAATGCATCGAGGGAGATGGGTATGAGACCCACACGAGTTGCCATGGTGGTAACCCAACCAATATGATCAAAACACTCTACTATTAGTAGTGTTCTAGGAGGTGCAAGCTATAAAATATTTTCTACAACTCATTAGGTATCTGCTAAACTTGTGACTCAAATACTTCTTTCCGCAATCTAATTGAAGAAACAAAATTTTCTTATTACAATAAATTCTATTTTATTCTGAAAATCTTCTGAAACATTTTAAAGGATCCAGATTTTATGTCTCAATAAGTAAATATATATATATATATATATATATATATATATATATATATATATATATTTACTTGAGTCATCTTGACGATAGATAAATCCACTACTTGCAACAATACTTATTGCAATACGCACATCAATATGCACATTTCCAACTATTTTGTTGCTCGTTCTTTATTGCCTGTGAATGATATTTTAGTTTACTTCACTAAAAATGGATGAAAGTTGCAAGTGTCAGATGATTCATAATCAGATGACTTCAAAATCCATCACTATGGAATTTCCCCATGCTGGTTTATCCAATGTGACTAAATGAAGTGCCACACAGATGTGGTATTCTTTTAGTCTTGCGACATTTAGCATCGTGTTATGGATGTTCAATTTTATCATCAATATTCATAACATACATCTTTTTCGCAATAGGAGTCATTGGTGCAGCGAGCTGCTATACAAACTGTTTTTAACCCCTTTCTGCGACGACATTCTGAACCGTCGCCAAGTGAGTGTGTGCAATAGGGGGGTCCTTCCCATACAACCTACAAACCGTCGGGATAGGCCCTCCGGTCACACAAATGCCAGGCAAAATGATGTGCGATGGGCGAGTGATCAAATACAATTATACATGCCCAATCGGTTCCGGTCGTAAGTACATCCCACACAGTCAGTCCCAGAGAAACGTTTTCATCTGTTATGTAGATTCCACATAGTCAATCCAAGGAATATGTTTCTGTTCTTATGTACATCCCACACAGTCAATCCAAGAAGTATATTTCCGTTCATATGTACATCCCACACAGTCAATCGAGGGAAAACGTTTCCGTTCATATATACATCCCACACAGTTTTATGTATAGCCTCGTGTGTGATAGGTGTAACAATCACACATGCTCTGCCTCGGTTAACCATTTGCTTTTATTCAACTACATCACACACGATTTGATGAAGAAAACTATATGGCATTGGGATATCCATCACAATCGCTTTTACTCCTAGAACCGTTTGCAAAGTTCCATGACCCATTTAGCAGGTTTATTAGTTTACAATTAATAATTTATGTATTACGCAAATTCACATTTCGTATCAACCAGCTCTTTGTCAATTTCATATCAGGCACATAAATATATTTTAACATCACAGTACGATAGCTAAGTCAATGAAGGAGAACAATATTAGCTAGTTTTATCCCATATCAGGCACCGCTGGTGAAGGAGAATAATATTGTTCTACCTCAAAATAACATATAGCTAGTTCACCTTCATAAGAATAATATGTTCATTTCCCTAATCAAGATCATCCAGACTCGTCTTATCCACCTCTGCTTTCAGTTCAGTAAGAACCTGTTTTGCACTGACCAACTGGGAAAGTGCCTCCTCCTTCGCCAACATCATCTTAGTAAAGTCTAATTTTAAAAATCTGAGCTCATTCTCCATCTTCCTCTTTTTTTCCTGCATCTTGAAATATTCTTCAGCATTGACAACACTTTCTCTAATCCTACATCTGTTCTCTTCCTCATACATGCTCCAGAGCTTTGCTAGGCACATCTTCAAAGACTGTGGCCACTCTTGATCAACCCACTCCAAGTAAGAACACTTCCGTTCATCCTATAATATTTAAAAACTAGACCACTAACAATTTTAGGGGAAATGGGTTTCTAGCAACATAGAAAATCACCAAGTACATATTTTGAAAAACTGAAGAAACGGGTTAATTATGACATATCTTCTCAAAAAGATCAATTTGCAAATGAATTAATTGCTACTGGGACAACAACCAAATTTTGATACATCAGAAGCTATAATTAACTAGAATAACACTATGAGTTCTTAATCATGTACTATAAGTAACAAACTGAACATTTTATGAGGAAGCTAAATATAACTGCAACAGCATAGCGACAGTGTTTGGATGACATCAAACTGATACTAACAAGTGTGTACATGCACAAATTTAGTAACATAGAACTAATAGCACTAAGGTCGTCCACTATGTATGCCAAAACCGGTGTCAAGACAACTGTTGCTACATTTGGCACCAGTACCCTGCATTGGCGAGCCGATGTAGCGAAAAACGGGGAACCGGACTCTCGAGCACCTAGTTGCCCCGATGCCCAGTTCCTTTGTGCCATAAAGATTTAGTATTCTACTGCTTGGCTGCTAAGACGTGTGGACCAAAGTTGGCTGCACAAACTACTAAAGCGGTTCCAAATAATTTTTTAATGGCACCGCTGATGAGATGACAACATTTTTAGATACTAGGTACAAATTGTGACATCGTATTAACATCCAGAATAACATAGCACAGTGATAGTGTATGAATCACATCTAACAAATGATTTGTAACAACAAAAGTGGGGCTAACCTTCTCTGCACATGACAGAAACTTTCTCCCACTATCCACGGATTCAAACGTAACTAACTTCACGCATGGAGATTGCTGGTGACAACGAGCAGGCAGATCTTCAGCCACCCCGCTCCATTCGTTGAAACTGATGGTCCTAGGGAGCTACAAGAGGAAGAAATGTCGGGTTAAAATCCTTCATTCCAAGTCATAACCTGAGAGAGAGAGAGAAGAGAGACATACCCGGGTGGTGAAAGAGTCATCGTCAGAGGAGGAACCACTGGAGAGGTCATTGAAGAAGACCATGGCGACCCCGATGGTAGGATGCGAGACGGCGAGAAGCGAGGAAGCAAGCGAGGAAGCGGCTATAGCTTTGGAAGGAAGGAAGGAGGAAACAGGGGAAATGTGACTTGTGATCGGGGAGAAAAGGGGGTGGGGAAGGGGGTAGATATTTCGGCGGTAGGCAAAAAAAATTGAAATGTGGAGGGAAACTTTGCGTGCGGTGCCGCCGGACACCATTCACTTTGAATGATTGTGTGCATTATAGACGATTCTTCTGCTTTACGCGCATGGGATGAGTTTGGTAATTCAAATTTTGGTGGAAATCTCCCTGGGTACTGTCTTCATCCATGTCATTGCATAATTTGACATCGCTTGCTAATTTGCGCACACAAAAGAGCATACAACACACATACCACACTTACTGAATCGAGCAATTTTGATAATTAAACAGAGCCAATTGACCAAAACATTGCTTTAACAGAAGACCAGCATTATAAACAAAGCCTAAGTACGCATAATTTTAACATAGCCGCCGCAGCGCCGACCTATGCATCATCGGTGTGACATGAGACGTGATGACTTGTCCTGGCGACATGCCGCCGTTGGTGGAATCTGCATCCCCCTACTGAAGTCGACCGTGTCCTCGTCCTCATCCTCGGCGCTGCCCTCAAGGTTGTAGTACTCGTAGTAGTGGATGCGCTAGAGCTCGCGTTGGTACTCCATCACCGATTCCTCGACGGACAAACTCTTCTCTACCTCGACCTCGGCCACGCGCAACTCCTCCTCCCGACGCTCCTCGATCTCCGCTGCCTCTTGCATCTCCAGCTCTCGCTCGATGATCTCATGAGGAAGTAGGTGCTCCATGGCCACCGGTGCCTTTTTGGACGTGGGTTGCATGCTGGATTTCGAGGTGGCCTGGAATATCTTGGCGTGTGCATCCTCGATCTTGGCGGGATGCCCTCGACACTGGCCAAGGCAACATCGGCGGCACGGACGACAGCTCGAGCGCTGTCGGCGTTTGCATCCATCGTCGCAGCAGCTGCTGCAGCTGCCGTATTAGCTGTCGCAGACGCCCTCTCGACGGATGCGGCTGCACTCAATGCGGATGCGGACGCGCTCTCGACGCAGGCGGTGGCCACCGTACGGGCCCTCACAAAGCGTTTCCACGGCGTCATCTTTGCATGAAGGGGTTAAGGGAATGGGGATCAGGATCCGAGGATTCGGGGTTGCCGGCACTGGAGCAGACGAAGCTAGCGAAGCTTAAGGAGGAAGACTTAAATAGGCCCACGAATTTTCATCGCAAACGGTTCCTACAAAAAAAACTGTATGTGATGTTGTTGATATTTTTTATTAGTTGTGAAAGACGAATTTGGAGTAAAGTGGCAACAGATGGTGTTTTAAATGTACGAGAAAGTGTGTAGTACTAATACAACTATCATGTCAAAATTTGAAAAATCACATGGGTCATTTGACCTTTTAGGGCATTTAAGTGATTTTCTAGCCATTTAATGACTGTAATTCAAATTTGAACTACATGTACATGCAACAGCTAGCCATAACAGTTTGAAAAGTCATATTTGTGTACTTGTGTGCGAGTTAATTCCGTGTGCAGTAAATTGGAAGGAATTTTCAAACATATTGGTCTCACGGCTATGACATAAAGCATGGAGTGCCATGGCATTTAAATTCCAAAGAATTAAAAAATGATCAGAAATACATGAAACCTTGCTTGATGTAATGGCATGGCAACAAGATGGTGTGGTAAAGAAATTAGCCCGTTTGATGAAAGTTTGGACACACACCCCTCGCAAACAGGAGCAGCTCACTAGAAGGCTCGTGGTTTTGAGAGGGAACAATGCATGTTTGATGACGAGCGAGCAATAGCTTCCTCTTATGGCCTTCAATTTTTTTCTACAAGTAACATGCACTAATACAACTGTCATGTGAAAATTTGGAAAATTCCAGGGGTCATTTGACCTTTTAAAGACATTTAAGTGATTTTCTAGCCATTTAATGACTGTAATTCAAATTAAAAACTACATCCCCATGCAACAGCTAACCATAACGGTTTGAAAAATCATATTTGTTGACTTGTGTGCGAGTTAATTCCATATGCAGTAAATTGGAAGGAATTTTCAAACATATTGGTCTCACAGCCTGGACACATGCATGGAGTGCCATGGCATTTAAATTCCAAAAAAATAAAAAAAGATCAAAAACACATGAAACCTTGCTTGAAGTAATGTCATGCCACCAAGATGATATGGTAAAATTTTTGGCATGTTTGACGAAAGTTTGGATACACACCCCTCACAAACCGGAGCAACTCACTAGAAGGATCGTGGTTCCAAGGGGGTATAATGCATGTTTGATGGTGAACGGGTGATAGCTTCCTCTTAGGGCCTTCACAATTTTTCTACAGTTAACGTGCACTAATACAACTGTCATGTGAAAATTTCAAGTGTCATTTGACCTTTTAAAGACATTTAGGTGATTTTCTAGTAATGACCATAATTCAAATTTGAACTGCATCTACGTGCAACGGCTAGCCATAACGGTTTAAAAATGTACTTGTGTGTGAGTTAATTCCATGTGCAGTAAATTGGAACAAATTTTCAAACATATTGGTGTCACGGCTTGGACACATGCATGGAGTGCCATGGCATTTAAATTCCAAAAAAATAAAAAATTATCAAAAACACATGAAACCTTGTTTGATGTAATGTCTTGCAACCAAGATGATGTGATAAAAAATTTGGCATGTTTGACGAAAGTTTGGACACACACCCCTCACAAACCGGAGCAACTCACTAGAAGGCTCGTGGTTCCGAGAGGGAACAATGCATGTTTGATGATGAACGGGCGATAGCTTCCTTTTATGGCCTTCAATTAATTTCTACATTTAACGTGCACTAATACAACTATCATGTAAAAATTTGGAAAATTCCAGCGGACATTTGACCTTTTAATACATTTAAGTGATTTTCTATTCATTTAATGACTGTAATTCAAATTTGAACTACATCAACATGCAACGGCTAACATAACAGTTTGAAAAAAAATCATATTTGTGTACTTGTGTGTGAGTTAATTCCATGTGTAGTAAATTCGAATGAATTTTCAAACATATTGGTCTCACAGCATGGACACATGCATGGAGTGCCATGGCATTTAAATTCCAGAAAATTAAAAAATGACCAGAAAAACATGAAACCTTGCTTGATGTAATGTCATGCCACCAAGATGATGTGGTAAAAAAATTGGCCTGTTTGACGAAATTTTGGACACACACCCCTCACAAACCGGAGCAACTCACTAGAAGGCTCGTGGTTCCGAGAGGGAACAATACATGTTTGATGACGAACGGGAGATAGCTTCCTCTTACGGCCTTCAAATTTTTTTCTATGTTCAACGTGCACTACTACAACTGTCATGTGAAAATTTGGAAAATTCTAGGGGTCATTTGACCTTTTAAAGACATTTAAGTGATTTTCTAGCCATTTAATGACTGTAATCCTGAACTACATCCACATGCAACGGCTAACCATAACTGTTTGAAAAATCATATTTTTGTGTACTTGTGTGCGAGTTCAAAAATCATCAAACAATGTAAATATCTGGTGTTCAAAAAACAAAATATAAAGATCTGGCACGACAACCGGCCCCCACACGATTGCACTCTATTTTGCGGCTCGAGGTTTGGTAGGTGAGTAGCAAGGGCCATTAATCAGACACGGTTCTGTATTGGAAACCGTCAGCTATTAAGTTCACACACAGAGTTTGCTGTAGGAATCGTGTGTAATTCAAACTACAGTAAATTCCGGTGACTGGTGTGTGTACTTTTCCCGTCGAGCTAGATTCCAGCCGCTAATAAATTCTACCTTACTCACGTCATCCCACCTACATTCTCATCTACATCCTTCCCCTCTCCCGCCTCGCTCTCTCAAATCTCTGCCATGGCGCCGCCGGTCTGCCTACGCGCCGATGAGGAGTCACCGCCCCCCGAGGACGCTCACTTGAATACCAGCGACAAGGACCTCTATGTGCCGCTCGACGAGGTTGCGTCGGAGCCCCCAACTTTGGATTGGTTTTGGGGCCAGTACAATCTTTGTCTGTGGAAGTCGATGCCGCCGGCTGAGAAAGCCAGGCGAGTGGCGTTCAAGAAGGAGATGGCGGAGGAGGAAGCCAGGTACCAGGCGGCCTGTGAAGCCCATGATGCCGCCTGGAAAAAGGAGGCGGCGGAGCTTTGGGGGCGGGCGCGTCATTGTGCGGAGGAGGTGTACAAAGACGGGTACTTCGCGAGGAAGGTCAAAGGCACCGGGCGCCTCATCATTGTGTGGAGGTGGGTCGGTAAGCTCCAGCTTTCCACCGACGAGGAGCTCCGGTGGGCGCCCAACAAAATGGCAAGATCGTTCATGGGTCGTCCACCAGCAAGAGGCAGATCGGTACGTCAAGCGCTGCGAGGCGGAGGAGGCGGAGTACTGCCTCCGCACTCGGAAGATGCTGCGCACCAGGGAGCTGCTGGCGAAGGGCTGCCGGAATACTGGCCCCATGAGAGATTATTAGTTTTAGTATTGTTCGTTTTCAATTTTATGCATTGT